GAATAACAAGTAAGCGGAGTAGAATCCAATCGATTCATCTTGCGAGCTCTCATGTATATTTTTTATTTATATATATATATATATATATATATATATAGAATTTGGATCATATGAGAAAGGGAGTTGGTGTAAGAAATAAGAAAGAATCTGGACCATTAGATATATCATATAAATGGTCCTGATCAAGTCAACCTTTAATAAATAATGGTCAATCATTAATGGCAATGTGGTAAATAATTAGACATATGATGGTCAAATGTATAGATTTCACCACTAATTAAGGGTAATTTAGACAATTGAACCAAACACACCATGAGACCCACCACCTCACCCTTTAACCCTACACCCCTCCACCTACCCCCATCATTCACCTTCTTCACACACACACACACACACACACACACACACAATTCTCCACTAATCCGGCAGCGGCGGAACTCCGCCGCCGCGCTTCTGCAACCCGCCGCCGCGCCTCCACAGCCCATCGCCGGAGACGGATGCGACCAAGGATGCTCAGGCCCGCCGCCCGTCGCAGATGCATCCATACCATCCGACCATAGCCTCCAATCCGCTGCCTGCTGCCGCCCGCCGCCGCACTCTGCCCGTCTCTCGCACCGTCTCGCTGTTAATCTGGCACCGACGGGCGTCTCTGCCACCAAGTCAGGCGTCATCTCTGCATTTTTCTCCCGGCGCCGGCATCGTCCTCCTCCCGTCGGCCAGCTTCGACGATACCACGACGAACATCAAGATCGAGACGCGCATCTCGTTCACCTCACCTGCTTCTTGATCTTGAGCCGCTCCGATAGGCATAACCGGATTCGAAATCCCGTCGATTCACGCACTGCCATTCGAAATTCCGCCGGTTCACGCACTGCTATTCAAGATCGAACCGAATTCAAAATTCCGTCCTACATCTTCTTCCCCTCCACCGGTTGTCGTGCCGTTGCTTGATGAAGTCTGCGTATTGTGAGTCTGTGATCCAGTTGAAGGCTCAGAGGTCCTGATTTTGCAAATTTGGGAAGGCTTGACTTTGTAAATTAGATAATTTGTAGGGACTTGTCTGCAAATTGAGAAAAATTAACTATATTACAATTCACATATGTCAAATTTGCAATTTATTAAAGTTTTAAAATTGAACATCAACAAATAAATTGCACAATATTGCGTGTATGGACACATTAAAAATTTATGACATATATACGAACTTATTAAAAAAATAATAATAAATACGCAATTTTTTGATAAGTGAATTACACAATATTGAGTGTAATATGCAGTTTTAAAGATGCGATTTTAAAGTTAAAAAATATATAATCAAACCGAAATATAAATTTCGAACATAAATTTTCTAGTTCGATCGATTTCATATGCTATTGTGCAATCAGACAGTCATTAACGTGCAATCTAATAGGCATTAACGTGCAATTCGCTTCACATTATTGTGCACTAAATTATATTATTTTTTATGTTTTGCCCAAACAAAACTAAAATCGAACGAACTATTTGGTTTATTTTATTGGTTAATCGGATTAATATAATTAATTTAAACAAATTATATTTTATATTATAAAAAATATATTTAATATTTTATTTAATATTTTTATATTATATTTTAGTTGTATAATATTAAATATATAAAAACAAAATAAAATTTTTGTTTTATAGTTTGATCGATTCGATTATTTAAAAGAAATTACATCAAATAGAACTAACCAAGAATTCAAAAGTATAAACAGATAATCGAACCAAAATATAATATTCGGACCAATATACTTTGTTGGTCGGTTTCGATTGCTAAGTGCAACCTGACAGTCACTAATGTGCATTTTGTCTAACGTTAATGTGCACTCGAATATGAGATATTTTTTATTATTTGTTTAAATCCAAACTAAGACCAAAATAACTGGTTTATTTGATCAGTTAATTGAATTAACCTAAATAGCCGAATTAATTCATAATTATATTATAAAAATATATCTAGTATTTTAATATTTTTATTTAGTAATTTTTTTTTTTTTTTTTTGTACAAAATGTATTATGTATATGTTAAGTGCAACGTGATGTTATATAAAGTGCAACACGTTGTTTCATAAAGTGCAACGTGAGAATTTTTTTTATATGGTTTGGTCAGTCCAGTTATTTTGGGTATATAATAAATAAAAAAAATAAAGAAAGTTGACATCGAAGCAAAATAACCAAAATTTTAAAGGTAAACATATATAATCGATCGAACATAAAATTCGTACAAAAAAAAACTAATTCAATCGGGTTTGGTCGCTATAGTGCAATATGACAGTCACTATTGTGCAATCCATTTAACGTTAAAGTGCAATTTGTATTACATTAATGTGCAATCAGTCTAACACTTGCAATTTATTTGTAATAATAAAATATATATTAGTATTTGTAAATTTTTTAGTTAATAGTTTATATTGTTGTTTGATGAAAATAAATAATATACATAAATATATAAAATATAAAAATATTCTTTATATAGTTCGGCCGATTTTGTTATTTTTTTTTCTTAAATAAATCCGAACTTGGACCGAGATAACCTAAATTTTAATATTTTGTGGAATACACATTGTTGTGATAATGTGCAATCCCGAACACATTAATGTGCATTTGTTCTAACACTATTGTGCAATCTGACATTGATTATTGTGCAATATATATAACATTAACGTGCAATATATATAACATTAATGTGCAATGTTTCAGTTGCTAATGTGTGGACTGTTATACTCACACATTTATTCTTATTTTTATATTATTTTAATACTTTGTATTATTTTTATTTATTTATTGAACATAAATTTATTAAATGTTCTATAAATTATACATTTGGCACATGTATCAAATTTAAATATACTCAAATTTTATCAAATTGTAATCAGCCCCCTTGAAATTATCTAATTTCCCCAATCATGCCCTAATTCCCAAATTTGACATCATCTTCTCCAACTCTCCACCGGCGCCGTTCAGCCATCTCCGGCGAGACATCCGACGTCGAAGTGTTCAGAGACCTCAGTCATTCCTCCTGGAGGTTCTCCCGCCGCGACTTGAACCCCGACGCCAACTTCCAGCGGGGTGGTGAAACCGGCCGTCGATGGATGTGGATGGCGAACGAAGCCGATGGAACTCCGGACGATGGACCAACGGCGGCGAAGTGCGCGTGACTGCGAGCTCCGCGACGGCTGATGCAAAGATCCCAACGGCGACCGGTTGTCGGATTTTGTCCGAGCTTCGTGGTTATGGTGGATGGCGGCAGCGGATCGGAGGTCCAGCATGTACGGCAGGGCGGCGGTCCGGCGGAGGTGCGGCGATGCCTAAGCCGTCGGTCAGGCGTGACGCCGCCGGGAAGTGGGCGGCCGGCGACGGGGATGTTCTTCGTCGTCAATTGCAGTGCGTGTGTGTATTACTGTGTGTTTGCTGTGTGTAATGGGTGTTGACCGATATTAATGTGTGTGTCAGTGTGTGTGAGAGAGAGAGGGGTATGATATGTGATGTGTTTTTGCCACGTGGCACAAACTAATTAGGTGTAAGTAATTATTAGTTGGCACAAACTAATATTAAAATGTTAAAATGTCTAAAGTATCCTTAATGAATAAATAAATGCTGATTTTATTTTTGCCATTGGATCATTTGATCTAATGGCTACGATGTATTCTCATTTCTTTCATGGAGAACCTTTCTTACTGGAACCCAACCCTATATATATATATATTAGATGAAGGAATTTGGTTTTTCGGATAAATAAATAAGTTATATTGTGATGAACCTAGCTAAAAAATTTAAAGAGACAACAATCAGTCAATCGTAGCCATGTTTGATGTTAGTGAGTTGGTGAAAAATTCATGTATTGAACTATATTTAGAGGTTTGAGGCTCGTCAAGTCCGCTTAACAAATTTGTGTGGTAAATAGCTCACACGATTACCATTTTTTAGCTTAAAATGCTAAGTCTGAAAAGTTGAATATAAGAGCTTTTTTTTTTCTTTTTTTTTTTTTAAATAAAGATTTCGTAGTATAACATGTCATATAAAATTTTTAAAATAGCTATAAAATTCGTTATTTACAAATAATTATTCACCAACACCAAATACAATTACAATCCGTTATCAGCTACTCGTATTATATATTTGGCTCAATTTAACGTATAATAAGAATAATTAATTCGTAAGAGTAGAGCCGTGCTTTCTGCATAGATCGGCAAACAAAGTTGTTTATGATATTGCGTCTTTTTTTTTTTTTCAAGCTTCAAAAGAAAGGTGGACGCTTTTCGCTTAAGGATCTGTAACGATTCTCTTTTGATCACTTAATATCAAAAAAATCAATGTTGGTCGGTGTACATGTTTCTAATTATAGATATAAGTTTGTCCTTTGTAACTTTCCGTAAAGGACCATGCCATTATTGTGTTTGTGTACACACATCTTTTTTTCAGAAAATTGGACAAAGGGTGATGAATTGCATACATACACATGCCTACACATATCATTCTTTGGAACTTTTATTTAGGATATATATTGCCTTGTCGGAGGCATTCATAGATCCATCGAAAATATCACAAGCAAGGTCTTATCGTGTTCATATGTACTTATTATTATTATTATTATATTTTTCTATAATATATGTGCACACTTAATTAAGATAGTTCTGAATGAATTAAAAATATTGGTTGGGTATTAAAGAAAAAAGTATGATTAATGGACTAAAAATAACATTAGTGTTTCCAATAGTGAATTATGTTGAGTTCCTCTATTGTCTGTCTAAAAACGGATGATTATTTCATTTTGTCGTACATTTGTAGTTTCCGGTTTATGAAATTTTGCTTCATACATCATCAATATCAAGTTGTCTGCTTGATTGAATTAAGCTTCGCATCATTTACACACTAGAAATCAGTAAATAATATTTGTGTTTATTAATCTCGTTCTCAAACATGCAAATTAAGAATCAATCTTTAGTAACAAGTAAACCATTGCATATATTTGTAATGAATGGTACACTATATATTATTGTTAATCCAATTTTATTGAAATATAAAGCTTATGTCTGCATGGATAAGGGCATGATGATGTGAAGAAACACTACAGAGGCGTGAGGCAAAGGCCTTGGGGCAAATACGAGACCCGAAAAAGGCGGCCCGCGTTTGGCTTGGCACTTTCGACACTGCCGAGGAAGCAGCCCTCGCGTACGGCTCTCCAGTTCAAAGGATCCAAAGCCAAACTCAATTTCCAACCTGGGATTGGCAATGGCAACAACACAGGCGCATCTCCTCGTCCTCATTGCTAAACTCTTTTCCAGCAGTATGCGCAATTCACTGATGAAAATTTTATTATTGAATCATGTCGCCACCTAATCAACAAGACAATCACGACTATGGAAATTTTTCAGCCGCCAGCTCCGGTTTTACGACTTACTTCAGCAACTACTCCCATCCTAATAACCCCAATGGATGACTAGCTACCTCTTAATTGAATTAAGAAGCTTGCTTTTTCTGTACGTAATGTGTGTGATTTGTCAATGAGAATTAACTTCATATGCTATTTGGAATGTAATTATGTACGTACCTTGACTTTCATTCACCTTTTGCTCTTGTTCTTGTTCGCCTCAGCTTTGTGGCAACATCCATCTCAAGTTTCACTACTATACCACGAGGAGGAGTACACACAATAAAAAGCAGAACAAATTAACAATCATGCATTAATATGCAATTTTGACTGAGTGCCGATATATATATATCTTCTTACATGTATTTAAGTACTGCAAATCAAAAGTTCAAAACACATACACAGATATATGCACCAAACATCAGAGGAAAATAAACCAGCTCCGAAGCTAGTAAAATCCAGAATTATGTTTTTAGCTGAAACAACTCCATTGGCAGTACACGCATATGATACTAAGTGGGGCATTTTTTTACATTGAAATCCACTGGTCTTTTTATGGCTCCAAGAGCATTTTTCTCAGCTCATGATTCTTTCCAGCAAGACAATCCGAGCTAACCAGCGAATTTATCCAGATTTGGTCTGATTTAACTGGTTCATCATCATCATTTCTGTGCCAACTCCAAAACGCATGAGTTGAGTTCACAATTCTGAGCTCACCATGACCAAAGCTGGCCTCTCGGAAGACTGACCACTCAGGTTGGGACTTCTTGTACCTGTCAAATAGTCCAATACTTAATACAAGATAGCCAATCATCATTTTATTGTTTATGATTAATCACACAGGATCTGATATAAAGAATGGTGCCACATTAGAGCAAGCCGAAAGACAAAAGCTTTCAATTCCAACTCATACAATTATCGGCTCAATTTAGATTATATAGCTCATATTATTCTGAAAGTGTCTCTGGATTCCTTGCGATAGTTGTTAATAACAAGGAAAGAACTTACCAGGGTGCTAATCCTTCTCTGTTACCTCCATCGCCAATCGTAATGTGGACAGCTCCACAAGGATCTGATCTACCGTTAAAAACACGCTTCTGTTGAGAAAAAGAAAAAAAAGAAAAAATATTAAGTGCAGTTCTCATAAGGTCAAAGACTAGAATACAGAAGAAAACATACCGAGCGTTCATAGGCATGCACATGGCCAGCAAACACAATATCCACGCCAGCAGCATAAAACAAGGGTTCCATTGCTGACATCATGTCATCACCTTCACCTTGATGAGCCGCATTACTGTTATACCATGGCACATGGAATAGTACCAAAATCCAGGGTGTCATCTTGCGATCCACCTTTGACAGGTCAGCCTAATCAGGGTTCAACAGCAAAAGCAGCTATATCAGCAAGTCGTGCATCCAATAAAGTCGAAATTCAGTCACAAGCACTGAACAAACCATATATATCCACTTATAAAGCCTTCATTCGAAATATAACAAGTTAAAAAACATATAATTAGAATTCTGAATAGCAGTTCTATCACCAGACATATATGAGATGAGATTATCACGAAATACTGAAAAAAGGGTGGGTGCTCATCGAACCTTCAACCACTCATACTGATCAGAGTACTCGTCGTAATCCGTATATGAACCAAGCATCACAATGTGAACTCCAGCCACATCAAACGAATAATACAGATTCGAACTCGAGTTGCTCTCTTCATACGGCATTCTCCACCTAGAATTGTACGACACAAAACCATCTACGAGAAATGGTATTTTCTCCTTCTCATGGTTCCCCTGTGTCACCATCCACGGCCTCTCACTCGCAAGTGGCTGCACCAGCTCGCCAAACGTATCCCACTTGTGCTGCATGTAATCAGCATAAGACAAGTCACCAGGCAGCAAGTGAATATCATATTTGCACTGTTGGATATGGTCCAGAGTTGACTTGGTCCATTCAGTCTGGCCTAAATCGCCAGCCACAGCAAATGTAACCGGGAATTCGGCAGGCGGGGTTTTGAGCTGGAACTCGGGACCTTCTCCACCACATCTATAAAAATACAAGGTGTTGTCCTCGAGAGGGCCAATCACAGTGTGATGAATTTTTCCAGAACTGTAGAGGAGATAACTATAGCTCGTATACTGTCCTTGAGCCGTCCATCTGTAGTTCTTGGGAGAAGTTCCGTACTCAACAATGGTGGGGGCATGTTTATCGCTAGTAACCCATGTTATTCGCATGTGTTTAGCTCCAGCCAAGGATATGTGAACCTGCAGTGGCCATTTGCCCGACAAAAAAGTTCAGAACATCAGCTCTAGAGGCATATTATCGCACATACCAAAAATTCCCCCAACTCAAGAATTGACAGTGTACAATTTAAACGTCGGGATGTAAACTTACCAAATTACGCATAGTATTCTGTACAAGATCATCCAAACAAAGCCTCACAAGAATTAATCTTTCTGGTGGACAGTTTGTTTAGGTAACAACCTTCAGCCAAAGCTTAGCTAATTCTCTTAATACATAATAAATTGATAATCAATATACAACCTTCAGCCGAAGCTAAGCTAATTCTCTCAATAGATAATAAATTGATAATCTCAGCTCTTGGTAAATCAAAAAACAGAGAAACCTAGGCAGACCCAACATACGAACTCTCCACATCACGATTCAAGCAAATCACGACTACCAGATCACAAAATCCAGAAGAAACAAACAGTAACATGCTCACTTTCGAAGAAATTCAAGTACTTGTCAAACTTCCCCCTTTAGAGATAAAAAGACTTTTATTCACCTGCTCGGGATAGGAAGAAGGCTTCGGGGACCATGGAAAATGAAGGGTTTTGCGAGGCGGCGGCCTGACGTAATCAGCAGCGGCACTGACGGCAAGTAGTAAGAGCAACGTCGCCACCAAATCCAGCTTTGACCCCATGATTGATTATTCTTCACCTGGATGGTTTACTGTGCATAATTTAGTTATAGTGAGCTAATAAGGGAAGTTTGTTTGAAGGGATGGAAATGCGTCAATCACAGATTGGTCATCATCATTTATTATTGTTTGTGTTTTTGCTTTCTTTGCCCTTTTTTCCCATTGGATTACCCAATTTTCTTTTCTCTTTTGTTTCTTTTCGTGCTATTTACCTCTACTTTTCACTTTTATCATTTTTCAAACTTTTTTAACTATTACTCAATTCCTCTAGATACATACACGAGATGAGCTCTTTTAGAATTTAATTTGGCTCGTAAAACTTAAAAATATAAAAAATTTAGGTCGTAATATTGATGAACAAGTTAATTTTGACCTCGACTTGACTCGATTAGATTCGTTTACACCCTAATTTGAATTGTAGAAGATAAATGCAAATTCCTTTTCCTTATTTTTTTTTTTTAATTGAAGATGATTAGTTGTAAAGTCAATACTATGAAATTTATTTTTCCCACCAAATCTACATATATTTTCGATATGGGTCATCACAAATCTGGCACAAAAAATTAATAAGAGATAACGCATTTAATTAATATATATCTTTTCGTGTTTGTTTCTTTCATTTTCCATTTTTTTTTTCAGTGGCGTGCGTTCTATATAGTATATTCAACCAACTATACGGAATTGAATGAATTTTTGAGCCCTAGTTCCTTTTATTTATATAGGACATGTGTATTAGTGAGACTGGGAACTTTTTTTTTATTTGTTTGGATTTCATGTGGTTGGACTTAATTAGACATGGCCAAAACGCGGGTTGGGGTACCGCTGGATCGACGGGCTCGAAAATAATGACCTTGAATCGGTACGGATCTATACTTGTGTCGGGTTTGTGTCTGGGCCGATTCGTGTCCGATCCGGACTGGGTCCGTGTAACAACAAATTTCGTGTATTGAATTTAAAAACACGAAAAATATTATTCAAATAAATTTCTTGAATCAAAATAAATATAATGGGTTACAATCTCTAATTTCTCCTCTGATTCTTCTCACGAACAATTTTAAGTCTTGGAGCGAAATCTTCGGCTTGATCTTCTCCTTGACTTGATTTGACTTGAATTAACGCTAATCCGAGGGTCAACGCCTTGATTTCGGATCAAACGTCGAAATATCCCAAGAACGCGAAGAACACGAATTCTTGGTCTTCGTCGCAATGTAGATCTTGAATCTTCTCCACGCCGGTTTTGAATTTACTAACGTTATTCGAAGGCTTTGCAGCTTGTTTCCGGATTGAACGCCAGTCTTGAGGTTGAATGCGCTTGAGGTTGAATGCGCTTGAATCTTGCTTCGAATTCTTCAAAAACGCCTTTAAATCTTCAAGAACACTTGAATCTCGTCGAGAGAATTCTCTAGAGCTCTTGAATTTTGAATATGAATTATGATGTGTGTGTTTTTTACATTAGGGAGAGCCCCTATTTATAGGTGTAGGAGGGAGAACCCTACCAAATTTAAGAATCGTAGGACGCGATTTGATTGGTCCATGATGATTCACATAAGATCTTTTAGATCCATTTAGATCTCCCAAGATCTTCTAGAAGACATGTGATTTATTACCAAGAATTAAGATTTGACACTTGGCGTTATTTGATTGGTCAAAAATTAAAATATTAAAATATCAATTAATTAACTATTTAAATTTAGGAATTAAATATATGGGAATTCCTAAAATATAAATAGAAAATATGACTTGATTTTTAATAAATTAATTTCCACGTGGCGCCATTGGATTGGCCACAATTTTTAAGTCTCTACAGTCCGTTACTTTTTTAAAAAACAATTAGAAAAAAAATAAAAATAAAAAAGGAGGGTCATTGACTCGGCCCGGCCTGGACCCGCCGGGCCGGGTCGTGAAATGTATGACCCTTACACGGCCCGTCTAAAATCCGGGCCGATTCCAGACCCGTGGTCAACGGGTTTGGCCGGGACGGGTCTGGGCCGGGTCAGTGCTGGGTCGGCGGGCTGGGTGGCCCTTTGGCCATGTCTAGACTTAATGGGATTGGACGTGATAACCTATTAATAATCATGCTTTAGATGAATCAATTACAAAAAAATATGAGAACATGAGGTTATACAATTCCCACACAAGGAAAAAGTCTTTATCAATATGCATACCTATGATCCAACTGTTCAAACCCAGTAATATAATGAACAGTGGAATCGAATCCTCCCTGTTTATACGTACATGACTCTTTAGTAGTTTGATAATATTGACAGTCTAACCAATATTGTTTGATGAACCACTTACTAATTGATGCAGAATAAATATAGTTATTATTATTATTATTATTATTATTATTATTATTATTATTATTATTATTATTATTATTATTTAGTAGATTGGTGAACAAGTTAGGTTTAGGGCTTTAAGAGTCTTATTTAAAGACTCATTCTTTTTTGTTATTAGGTGGTGAATTTTGAGATTGAATCAGGTATTGTGAGTATTGTGTGTTTTACGAGAGAGTATCTCGTTTATCTTTCCCACTCGTACGCTTCCCTACATCAGTTGGTATCAGCAGTCAATACGATTCACAATGCCGTCGGGACGACAAGATGCCGCAAACAAACGATGTGATGCAACCTTCAACGATTGGTTTCAACAGATCGACTACCGATTTGAACAGTTGGACGTGCGTTTCGCGGATTGGTTTGCAGATCTTTCGACGGGGATCAAGGATTTGCGTTTGACGCTTAACAACGTGATCTAGGATTTGCAGATGAACCTTGCCGCCGGCGACATGGGTGTGCGCAGGGGAGTTCACGGAGGAAGTGGAGGTCGTGTTCCAGGCGGGGCGCCCCGTCGGCGAGGAGACCATGTCGGAGGTGGATCCCTTCGGAGAGTGGCCGCCTCCGCCCGTCGAGACTAAGTTCGTTGCTGCACACGACAACCAAGATGTGCAGCAACAGAGTGCAATTTTTTAGGAAGATGACGGGCTATTGTACGACGGTCCTCCTATTTTCGATGAGGAGCTTCCGGTGACGGAGACATATTTTTGCGGCAATATCGATCCCGCGTGGGACGTCGCAGAAATTGAGCCTTTGACGGGGATGCTGTCGTTGAAACCCGATGTTTGGAGTATCTTGGCCAACGATGGTTTTTGGGAGCCGACTCCGAGGCTCAATAATTGGTGGGCCATTTTTCGATTGTCTATCGTTAAGTCCTTTGGAATATCATATTTGCACTGTTGGATATGGTCCAGAGTTGACTTGGTCCATTCAGTCTGGCCTAAATCGCCAGCCACAGCAAATGTAACCGGGAATTCAGCAGGCGGGGTTTTGAGCTGGAACTCGGGACCTTCTCCACCACATCTATAAAAATACAAGGTGTTGTCCTCGAGAGGGCCAATCACAGTGTGATGAATTTTTCCAGAACTGTAGAGGAGATAACTATAGCTCGTATACTGTCCTTGAGCCGTCCATCTGTAGTTCTTGGGAGAAGTTCCGTACTCAACAATGGTGGGGGCATGTTTATCGCTAGTAACCCATGTTATTCGCATGTGTTTAGCTCCAGCCAAGGATATGTGAACCTGCAGTGGCCATTTGCCCGACAAAAAAGTTCAGAACATCAGCTCTAGAGGCATATTATCGCACATACCAAAAATTCCCCCAACTCAAGAATTGACAGTGTACAATTTAAACGTCGGGATGTAAACTTACCAAATTACGCATAGTATTCTGTACAAGATCATCCAAACAAAGCCTCACAAGAATTAATCTTTCTGGTGGACAGTTTGTTTAGGTAACAACCTTCAGCCAAAGCTTAGCTAATTCTCTTAATACATAATAAATTGATAATCAATATACAACCTTCAGCCGAAGCTAAGCTAATTCTCTCAATAGATAATAAATTGATAATCTCAGCTCTTGGTAAATCAAAAAACAGAGAAACCTAGGCAGACCCAACATACGAACTCTCCACATCACGATTCAAGCAAATCACGACTACCAGATCACAAAATCCAGAAGAAACAAACAGTAACATGCTCACTTTCGAAGAAATTCAAGTACTTGTCAAACTTCCCCCTTTAGAGATAAAAAGACTTTTATTCACCTGCTCGGGATAGGAAGAAGGCTTCGGGGACCATGGAAAATGAAGGGTTTTGCGAGGCGGCGGCCTGACGTAATCAGCAGCGGCACTGACGGCAAGTAGTAAGAGCAACGTCGCCACCAAATCCAGCTTTGACCCCATGATTGATTATTCTTCACCTGGATGGTTTACTGTGCATAATTTAGTTATAGTGAGCTAATAAGGGAAGTTTGTTTGAAGGGATGGAAATGCGTCAATCACAGATTGGTCATCATCATTTATTATTGTTTGTGTTTTTGCTTTCTTTGCCCTTTTTTCCCATTGGATTACCCAATTTTCTTTTCTCTTTTGTTTCTTTTCGTGCTATTTACCTCTACTTTTCACTTTTATCATTTTTCAAACTTTTTTAACTATTACTCAATTCCTCTAGATACATACACGAGATGAGCTCTTTTAGAATTGAATTTGGCTCGTAAAACTTAAAAAGATAAAAAATTTAGGTTGTAATATTGATGAACAAGTTAATTTTGACCTCGACTTGACTCGATTAGATTCGTTTACACCCTAATTTGAATTGTAGAAGATAAATGAAAATTTCATTTTCCTTATTTTTTTTAATTGAAGATGATTAGTTGTAAAGTCAATATTATGAAATTTATTTTTCCCACCAAATCTACATATATTTTCGATATGGGTCATCACAAATCTGGCACAAAAACTTAATAAGAGATAACGCATTTAATTAATATATATCTTTTCGTGTTTGTTTCTTTCATTTTCCATTTTTTTTTTCAGTGGCGTGCGTTCTATATAGTATATTCAACCAACTACACGGAATTGAATGAATTTTTGAGCCCTAGTTCCTTTTATTTATATAGGACATGTGTATTAGTGAGACTTGGGAACTTTTATTTTATTTGTTTGGATTTCATGTGGTTGGACTTAATTAGACATGGTCAAAATCCGGGTCGGGTACCGCTGGGCCGACGGACTCGAAAATAATGACCTTGAATCGGCACGGATTTATACTCGTACCGGGTTCGTGTCCGGTCCGGGCTGGGTCCGTTACTTTTTTAAAAAAATAATTAAAAAAAGTATAAAAAAAATAGAAAAGGAGGGTCATTGACTCGGCCCGGCCTGGACCCGCCGGGCCGGGTCGTGAAATGTATGACCCTTACACGGCCCGTCTAAAATCCGGGCCGATCCCAGACCCGTGGTCAACGAGTTTGGTCGGGCCGGGCCGGGTCAGTGCCGGGTCGGCGGGCTGGGCGGCCCTTTGACCATGTCTAGACTTAATAGGATTGGACGTGATCACCTATTAATTATTTAATAATCATGCTTTAGATGAATCAATCACCAAAAATATGAGAACATGAGGTTATACAATTCCCACACAAGGAAAAAGTCTTATCAATATGCATACCTATGATCCAACGGTTCAAACCCAGTAATATAATGAACAGTAGAATCGAATCCTCCCTGTTTATACGTCTATGACTCTTTAGTAGTTTGATAATATCGACAGTCTAACCAATATTGTTTGATGAACCACTTACTATTTGATGCAGAATAAATATAGTTATTATTATTATTATTATTATTTAGTAGATTGGTGAACAAGTTAGGTTTAGGGCTTTAAGAGCCTTATTTAAAGACTCATTCTTTTTTATTATTAGGTGGTGAATTTTGAGATTGAATCAGGTATTGTGAGTATTGTGTGTTTTACGAGAGAGTATCTCATTTATCTTTCTCACTCGACGCTTCCCTACATCAGTTGGTATCAGCAGTCAGTACGATTCGCAATGCCGCCGGGACGACAAGATGCCGCAAACAAATGATGTGATGCAACCTTCAACGATCTGTTTCAACAGATCGACTACCGATTTGAACAATTGGACGTGCGTCTCACGAATTAGTTTGCAGATCTTTCGACGGGGATCAAGGATTTGCGTTTGACGCTTAACAACGTGATCTAGGATTTGCAGATGAACCTTGCCGCCGGCGACATGGGTGTGCGCGGGGGAGTTCACGGAGGAAGTGGAGGTCGTGTTCCAGGCGGGGCGCCCCGTCGGCGATCTCCACACCGTCGCCCGGCGATGCAGACGGCGAGGAGACCATCTCAGAGGTGGATCTCTTTGGAGAGTGGCCGCCTCTACCCGTCGAGACTAAGCTCGTTGCTGCACACGACAACCAAGATGTGCAGCAACAGAGTGCAATTTTTGAGGAAGATGACGGGCTATTGTACGACGGTCCTCCTATTTTCGATGAGGAGCTTCCGGTGACGGAGACATATTTTTGCGGCAATATCGGTCCCGCGTGGCACGTCGCAGAAATTGAGCCTTTGACGGGGATGCTGTCGTTGAAACCTGATGTTTGGAGTATCTTGGCCAACGATGGTTTTTTGGAGCCGACTCCGAGGCTCAATAATTGGTGGGCCATTTTTCGATTGTCTATCGGTAAGTCTCCCAACAACGGGATGCTTGGCCGTAGTTATGGATTTGAGCGTGACGAACGATGTGGTATGTTTTGTGTTAATTCAGCTGTGTGGATTATGCGTATGAAGGCGTGTACATGTGCCTTTGCAGCAGTTCAATCCTTGCCCGAGATTATGTTTACTTTCGGGGTTGTTGGGCGACCTTCAACCTTCGTGTACGATCGGGGGAAACGTTGGGCTATTCCTGTCACGAGACGTCTCCAATGGGAACGAGTCGGATTCGAGGGCAAATCCTGCTCAACCGGGGGAGAATGATGCAGAATAAATATAGTTATTATTATTATTATTATTATTATTATTATTATTGTTGTACCACAAATACTTGAACCGATCGACCGCCCCTCTCGAACTGGATTGCGCTTCCTTGATCGTCGGTAGCTGCAAAACACGCTGGGAGTAGTCCCGGCGTGGACACTCCGACGCTCAAGTCAGTGGTGGTGTTCCGAAGAGAAAACGGCAGAGTAACGAGATAATATGTGTGTATGTGTTGTGTAAAATGAATGAACCTGTGTTCTTTTATAGGTGAGGTCATGTACAAACCAAAGAGTTCTTTTCGGTCCAGAAGTCTTCCTCGTGTTTATCTCCAAATCCAGAACTTCAGAGTCCTTATCACTACAAACTTCCTTGTGACTTGGCCACAAAGCCACCGTCGGGCTCTAGTTACCTCAGTCGAACCGTCTGGCCGAGCTGCCTAGGTGCCGAGGCGCCTAGCTGCCTAGACTATCGCCTCCGCCTAGCTCACGTTGAGCTGGTCTCCGCCTAGCGCCCACCAAATATAACTGTAACTAGAACTCGGATCACAACCGGTCCTTCATGAACCGCTACTTACGCCTATATTATCTAGCTCTCCCATTTCTTAGACAAATCGAAGCTTATCTTAAGGAATGGAAAAATCACACATACTGTAGTAAGTACTTGCACTTAGGTTGAGAAAATTATCACCTGTCTACCTCAACTGCGCCTACCTCCCCCAAAATTCTCTCATCAACGCGCGAGCTCATATGCAGAGTCCCGCTAACCCCGTCGAGCCGCCGAGCCAAGGTGACAAGCTGCCAACCCACCACGTGATGCGGACTGGCCACGTAACGCCAAGCTGACTACGACGAGGTGCGTGGATGCCGAGCTGCTGGCCCTGTCGCGATGCCGAGCTACGGATGCCGAACTGTCAGCCTGATCGCGATGCCGAGCTGAGGATGTCGAGCCACCGAAGCCAATCCGCCGAGCTCACCACAGCGCCGAGCTCACCACAACGCCGAGCTGACCTACCGCAATGCTGAGCCAACACACGAACCCAACACACGACCATGCCGAACTACCAACCGCGACGCCGAGCTGGGAAGCGCCAATGCCAAACTCCCGAGAGTGGCGACGTCGAGCTGTCGTGAAGCCGCCACCGAGCCGAGGTGAGGATGCCGAACAGTAATGCTGCCGAGTCGAGGAGAGAGTGCCGAGCTCATGTGCCCACCTACCATGGGTTGCACATGTTTTCTCTTTTCCTCACCTACCAACACCCAACTTGCTCCCCAAGTTTAAATGTCCACCGTAGATCAAACTTCAAATCAAGGGCCAAGATCACCTAAGACCCACCAACCAAAATTCATCTCTTCCTCTATAAATATCCACCTCCCATCATTCACCATTCACTACTTCAATATTCATCTTCTTCCCCTTTACATAAATTCTCTCTCTAAAAATTCATTATCTGGGGATTTTATTTTTTACGAGCTCACAAAATTCCGCCGAGCACTCACACCGCCCCGACGACGAGTTCGCATCACCCGACGAGCCTCCACTGCCCCAACGAGCTAAAGCCTCCCGCCGAGCACTCACACCGTCTCGACGACGAGCCCGCACCACTGACGAGCCAACACCCTCTCGCCGACCACGCGCCACCTTGCATCATGTCGGACAATTTCATGGGTACGCCAATCTCATCCCACTACTATCACCATCATTATTATTGTGCAAAATTTCATTTATTCATTATGTATTTATTTTTCGCATATGTTCGTCAATTGTTTTCCGACTATCGCACGCATTAGAGTCCTCAACTTCGACCACAAACACTAGCACCTCATCTTCCACCACGAGCACTAGGACATTCTCTCCTACTTCACACTCCACACCTATAGAAAATCCGGCCGTTACTTTGGCCCTCCAAGCCTCGTCGACCACATCCTCCAACAAATCAAAAAAGGGTGTCACCCACTCCCAAGCGACACCTTCTAACCCCATCTTCTACTCGGACAACCAAATAACCGCCCGTGTCAAAAAGATTGAATTACCCCGAGGATGGGAACTCAGACTCCCACAACCCGGAGATTTATACAAGAACCCCCCACCCGACTTCTACAGCTTTTTCATAGATCAAGCCAACGCCGGATTGAGATTTCCTCTACACCCCGACCTACTCGAATTAAGCCAGTTATATCGGTTTCCCCTGAACCAATTTCCTCCCAACGCGATGCGGTATCTCGTTGGTTTTATCATGATTTGTCGAGCTCACCTCGGCGAGCTTCACCCAGAACTATGTCTGTATTGTCTCAATCTCCAATCTGCAAACGACACTTCACCCTACCTCATGCCCCGCAACAAAGCTATTTTCTTAAAAAAACCCTAAATAAAAAATTCATAACTGGCAAAACAAATTTTTCTTCGTTCGCCCCCCCTCCAAAATTTCCGACCTCCAATCTGAGTGGCTGGACGAGCTGTCGGGTCAGCGAAAGAAACCAAGACGAAACGCCAAATATGACACCCTCATTACCCAATGGAATAAGAGCCCCCTTCACGTGGTGAAGCTGACCACCAATGACCGACTCCTTCGGCACTTCCAGCTGTCGAGCTGTGCCGTCGACCCCGTGAGTGACATAGGTAGGCCTCGACGCCACAAGTTGTCGTCATATCGCCTACTCATTCCTTTATGCTGGTTCTACTCATATAACTCGTTTACTTATTTTTTCTTTTTTGTATTTGTCTTGCA